CCCCAAAACCCCAAAACCCCAAAACCCCTTTTATCATAGTCCTTATTGCAAACACAGTGCTAAAATATTCTCTAGAACCTCTTCCTAAACTCTTTGTTTGGCCTTAAGTGGCCCTTTATTCTCCAGAACTCGCCATTATTGTTCTCTTCCTCCTTTTATGCACTGGCGACTTAATGTGTTATTAAACAGCCAGGGCATTCTAGCTGAAAAGTAGTTATTCTCTATGGCATAAAGGTCTGCTTCTTGAGCTAATAATACCTAAACTCTCTTTAGAATGATAAAAGCTAAGAAGTTAATTGCTCAGATCTTTATGCTATAATAACTTTATAAGCTTTGAGTCTTATAACACCCTATTTAGACATAGAGACCCTCTTGGAAAGACTTGATTCAGAGGTGGCTAAACATCAGGAAGCCAGATTCCATTTTCTAGATATCTCAGTTAATTTTAGAACATTTTTGACAACCAGATTGTTCAAATTTATGGCTTATTGCACAAAATGGATAGGGATTTGTTATACAACTTTTTGTTACGGCAAGAGCTCTCACTTCTTTACCAGATCTAGCCTGGAGGAGTCGGCAGCCTTTAGCTGTTATAGTATTTCCCAAGAGTGAGGAGTAGAGCTTAAAGACGATCCCAGTCGGAATGGGTATTCAAATAATCCAAAAATTGGACATTACAAGGTGACATGGAGGAAAATTTACTGCATAAAATAATTTACTGACTCTTTTATGTGATTACATTAACAGAGGAATTTAGATTCATTTCTGGTGGGTCTCCCTTTTATGGATCCTGGAGGGAAATCAAAGCACTGGAGGAGGCTGAAAGGGTGGTATGATAGAAAAATTGGATGCGAGCGTTCTATCTCAACCAAATGTTGAATAGAGTTAGAATAATAAGCTTCTTAATTGTTAATTTTAGTTGAGAGGTTGGATACATTCAGATTTGAATTAACCAAATCTCTCCATTCTGCTATTTTTAATAAATTCGGCTGCTTGATGATTACTTAAGCTTACAAACTAATTGGTATTCATCTCTAATGAGGGAATGAATAGAGAATTAGGATAATAGTCTGTGAAAGTGCAGAGGTTCATTCTCGATGAAACATTCTGAAAATTAAAGAATATTTCAAAGATCTTCTAAATTCTAAAATTAAGACTAAACGCATGAAAACGATGACTCAATTCGAAATGTCTGGCTGGGAGTATGAAAATTAAATTCTCTATTTCGTTTTATTAAAGCCTTCTTTTCCCTCAAAAACTCTTATCCAAACAAAGTTTAGTATGGTTTATGAGTCCTAATTTACATATATGTCGATATCAGATATATGGCCTACATATTCCAGAACTTTTCACCAACTTATTCTGATAGTATTAAAGAACGGGAAGAACTACTGATCTTTAAGCTCAATTTTTCGTAATACTTCTGGTCTTACCTCCTTCACCAAATGAAGCTAATGAGGCTAGATAAGGCTGGATTTGGTTCCAAAGTATGCCTGATGCACTTAACCGTGAATCTTGGATGACGGGCTATTCTCTTTCTAATTTCCGAGCTTCCTATATATTTTACTCTTGCTGCTAATCCAATGACAAATTTCCTATTAATTTTGAGGAGATTCTTGAACCCTTTGTTAAATTATGTCACTCGGCTGGAAGCTTCTCCCTTGGCTGGATGCCAGCTGGGAATAAAGCTCTAGTTTATTTTTAGCCGATATTTCTGATAATTATTGCTTCTTAGATAACATGGTTTAAAATTAGGTGACCAATAACTGAATTTCTGAAGTAGTTGTAATAAACCATGATATTTTAGTAGGAAACTCTGGTTGCTAATGTGTCGTTTCGGGGAGTCTCAGAAATTTTAGGCAATTTAGCCATTGATCAAGCTCAGTTCGGGGTCCTGAGGTCTAAGTCTGGCTCTTACTTTATGTGGCCAGGTTTGGGATACTGTTTGTAAAGTGTTGAAATTATTGGGAAATTAAAAATCATACAATTTTTCTATGATATGAAGTCACTTAATTGATAGATATATGAATTTTGAGACTCAAGAAACATGCACCGCTATTAGATGAGAACTTATTATAGCTTAAGGAGATTATTCAAATGAGTAAGCTCCATTTTAGCTCATTTGGGAGAGTTTTAGTCAAATTCCCTTAGTATTCCTCCAACACGTGAAGGATACATATAGCTACCTCCTATTTTGGAGGTAGATTCATGAAAATTAGTGATTCACAGTAAATAAGTTTGTGGATATCTCTTTTTCTAGCCTAGATATATTGCTTATACTCCTTCCTTTTCATATAAGCTGGATGGGAATCAGAGGAAGTTGCTTATAGTTTTGTAGAAGATCCACGAATTCCCTGAATTTCGAATAAAATATGATCGTAATTATTAAGATAAATTAATACAGTTTATCTATTTGAGTAAGACTCGTTGCTTTCTTTTGGCTAATAACTTTCGTCACATTCGCTTGAGGTTCCGAGGGGAGAGGAGTTCCTTTGTCCTACAACTTGAGACCCTGCTTGCTGCAAGGGCTTCTATCTTCTTGTGTACATCTTCTAAGACAAATACTAGTTTATTTGGTCTTGTCTTTCTCTATTCGTTCGATTGTTTCACTAAAAATTCTTGGTAAACGCGATTTCTGTATCTGTTGGTTAGGAGAATACAGCCTATTTCTCTGCTGAACTTTGAGGTGGGGCAGCAGAGGAGATACAATGTGGGATGCATTCACTTGGGATGATTCCTCATTCGAGGAGTACCTCTTGAGTTGCGCCATCAGTCACTCATAATCAAGCTTTCTGATAAACTTAGTTTTGTTAAGAATGTCTCTGTATACATATTTCGAAGACTCAGGACTTGTGTGGGTGACTAAAGGAAATTAGTTATTGGTTGGACTTCATTGAAAGTGCTAAGGAGTAAACTGTGAAAAAGTCTCAAAGATGAATAATCTGTTAGATGGGTTTTTACTTTCTCGATGTTCTCTACATCTCTTGGGTCTGCTTCTTCTTGTAGAGCATGTTCTGGGGCTTAAGCATCTAGTTATGTTGCTTAATTCAAACTTTCTTATTGTGCTTGTCATTTTTAATTATGTTATATTGTTCAATTTGAGGGAATTTAAACGGGGTTTTGGGGTTTTGGGGTTTTGGGGTTTTGGGG